ACATCCTAGAATTAACTGTTAGAAAGAAGCACTACAGCATAGCTTCATGGAATAGTGAGGGATTTATTCAAACAGAGCAGTGGAGACCCTACCTTGACTCCAGGGCAAAAAAAAGGTGGTATAGGTGGACTTCCATGTGTTGTAGTGAAATCCTTTCACTTTTAATGAATGAATAAACTAGCTCCATGTAACAATCCCAAGCAGACATTTCCAGGAATTCCCCATCAATGCTCCCCTGGCATACCCACTCTGCATTTTTCCTGTCCATTGGCTGTAAAAAGGACTTTCAATTTTGTATACTTAGCTTTCCAGCTTATTCCAGTTAGGAGCACCCCTACAATGACTTTCTTTCTTTCTCTCTTCTGTGGAGAGGAAAGCTTTTATGTTAAAAATCAAAATAACCCTTCTCTCTTATTCTGGTTTTGTGCTGTGTATACTGGCGTCTCGAATTTTACCACTGCAAATTCAGAGATGTGATCCCTCTGCACAAAGGAGTTCTACTTCTGAGTGTGCCCAAAAGTGTAACCAATGTGAGAGAACCCAACAAACTGGCAGCCCGTGTAATGTTGCTGGGGAGACTGCTTTCCATTGTGTACCTCTTGCATAGCATCCAGGGTCTGCTCCACTCCTCTGCTGCTCTTTGTACTGGAGATGCCACAAATTTTCCCAGGGCCGGCATCTCCTTCCTTCTCTCTTACATCTGCTAAGTAATTCAGAATATTATATCTCCCCTCGTTTGTGTTCTTGTTACCATGCAGATTGTAACTGGTAGGAATTCCCTAGGATATCCTGCATCCTTCTGGTGACATATTTTGCCCTTAACCCAGGAGACAAATTACCACAGTGGTCTCATTTCTTTCCTTTCAGGACACAGATGTCTTGGCACAGGATTCTCAATGAAGAATCCCAATTCAGAATTGCTATCTTTTCCTTCCTCTCATTGCTACACTACTCATGGTCAAGAGCTGGACAGTCACAGGTTCTGTTGGCTTCTTTCCTTAGCCTGGCTGCACAAGGAAATGAGACATTTACTACAGCACTTTTATTTTTATTTTGTATTTTTTTTACTTTTTATTTTATTTTATTTTTATTATGATTATTTTTTCTCCTGCCTGTCAGTGCCCTGATAGTAACACAGAAATCCACCAAGAAACATCTGAGAAAGGCAGAACCTCAAAGAAAATCACATTCTTACTATGGTAATAAACAGATAGGGGAAGAAAGAAGAGTTAATATGTGGTCTAATGCCATAATGGAGGATTACTGGACATAAATGATTACACATTTTAGGTGGCAGCAAGCTCAGGCAGGCTAGCCCAGCACCTTACCATCCTAGCCCTGGCACTGGCATTCCCTGCAGACAGGAAGTGCCAGAATGGTCCTGAGTGCAATGGAGATGGGAAAATGCACAGGAAATCAAGGTCCATGGATTCTGCTCCTGCTGGAGCCTCTTTTCTTGCCTTATAGTATCCTTTTTAAGAGCACACTATTGTTGGTTTTAAAACTAAAATCAGGTTTTTTCTTTGCATAACTTCTATATTTGAGATCACAATCTACTATATGAGTATTGGATTATTTTTACACGTGCCTTCTGAAATGTAGCATTGGACTAATTAATAAATTAAATATGTAAACATTTGCTTAATTAAGTACAGCTCCATTTTTTCCTTGATGGACCTTACTCAATCCATTTTTGATATACCTATATTTATATATATAATACATATGAAAAAGAAAATAATAGTGAATGTGTTAACTGTATAAAATGTTCAGATAATGAACTATGAAAATTATTAGGCTTCACCATTGATTAAAAACTAAAACAGTTGGTTTCACACGTATGTACTACGTTAACCTTGAAAAGAGCTACTATAAAGAATAAAATAAATGTTGAATGCTTTCAAACTACAGATTTTAGGAGGTTTCAGAAGACAGACTTCTGTTTAATTGTATTTCTGGGCTGCTGCCAGGCTGTCACTATTCCCTAGAGCTTAATCTGTGGACATCAGAGGTTCTCCCCTGGAGCTGCATCTATAGACATTAAAGATTCGGAGTTCTTACATACCTTAAGCTAGAAGAGACAAGGGAGTAGCTTCTAATTACAGCTTGTACCCATTTAAGGTTATTTAAGCTTAATGCGCAAGCCTTGATGTAGATGAAAATCAGCTCCTCAGTCAGTTCAAATGTACTCACAAAAAGGGTTACAATTCCGTTTAACTTCTTCTTCTTACCAAAATCTTGGGAAAAAAAGAATCTTTTCACAACCACCAGGGCCCTGTGTGTGTTTTATCTGAAATCTGCTGTATAAAAAAGGTGATTGATTTTCTTCACATTAAGGGCAAAATAGCAGGAGGTCTATGACTCACTGTTAAACACATACCTGCCCACAACAGAGCTCACTATTCAAATAAAAATGGGATTTCTGCATTTTAACTGTATGACTTGCAGGGCTCAATTCTTTTGGATTTGCATTAAATTAAAAGCCTAAAATTATTTTCCCATGAATCTTCAAGTCAGATTTTTTCCAAGGCCATGGGTCACTTGATTGTGCCCAGGAGTTTACTCCAAACTTTGCTGGCGATGTCTGACATAATGATGTTTCAGTGCACAATACTTCATAGTGACCAAAGCTGGTTCCCATGATTTTTTACATTCAGTTGGGGAGTATATCTTTCCCAGGCATACTCCATGTTATTGTTTTCCAGAAATGCAACATTTTGTGATGATCCTTGATTTCTTACTTCTGTTTGTAGGCTGTAGATGTATTCATGGAAACAAAGCTGCCATATAGAAGCAACGATGAGAAAAAATGCTACTAATTAAATGTGGAGTGACATATGTGACTATAATAAAAACTCATGCTAATACACCTGGCCACTGTGGGGCAGAATGTCATGCTCCACGTGCCAGGAATGACAGTGTGATGCCATATGCACTTGATAATCGATGGTGAGTCAGTACTCTAGCTCAGTGACCTTGCTTCAGTGGGAACTGTACAAATGCAGGAGGCAACCAAGTAAATTGAGGTGTATTTCTAACTCTCTTGTGTAGTAAGGTAAACTGAACCAAGGGATGTAGAAATGCAAAATTGCCACTAATGGTAAAAGAAAACAGCAATAAACACAACTACACAAATAAGTAGGGTGCACTGAAAGTAATGCCTTGTGTTTATTTCCATGTAAACCACAACAGATACAAAGAGCACAGTAACACTATTTGATAGAGCAAATTCGCAGCTATAAAGCACTATTTTTCAATGCAGTCACCACCACTGCTATGCATTTCTACCAGCAAAAGACAAGAACCTGCATGCCCCGATAGTAAATATCCGCACCAGTGGAGGTGACCACTGTTTCACAGCTGTTACAACAGTGTCATTGCCAGGAAAATGTTGTCCATGTAGTCCAGCTTTCTTTGACCGAAAGAGATGGAAGTCAGAAGCTGACAAATCTGGACTATATGGTGGCTGTAGTAGAACAGTCCAGCCAAGATTGGACTGTAGAACACCCACGGTCTTTGACTGGTGTGGTATGGGGCCTGGCATGATTGTATTGCCAGAGAAGAGTTGTCCTCTTGTCTGGTCTGACTCTGCAAGTTTGAGCCTTCAACTTGTCAGAGTTGCAGTGTAGCTGACAGAGTTGATAGTTTGTCCATGTTCCAGGTATTCCAGAATGATCTCCCCTTTCCTATTTCAAAAAACAGTGCACATCACTTTACCTGATGTAAAGGGCAAAGCTGAGGGCTCTGTCTTGAACATCTTCTTTGATGGTGAATTCACCTGTGCCCACTCCAGGGACTGCAATTTTGACTCTGGCTCAGAGCCTAAGCCTAACCAGAAAGGAGAACAGTCTTCTTGCTCTGTGGGTTCCATATAGAGAAAGCACTTGAATGGTTTTTTTTTTTTTTTTAAATGAAAGAAATTATATGTAAGAACTACTTTAAGAGGTATTAAATTTAAGAGTTTTTTTTTAAAGTTTTTTGATGTTAAAATGAAATCAAATCCTCTATGCAAGAACCCTGCTCTGGCCACTGCTTCTCTTCCTGAGCTGTGTTCTTCATTCCAAGTAGTTAATTTTTATGACTTGATGAGGTTTCTCTTCATTGTCAATGTGATGGTTTTATGAACTAACACAGAATTCTAAGAAAAAATAACTTAATTTAACACTTCCCTAATTACAGTATTATCTATTGGTATACTGCATTTATAGAAAAAGATGTAAGTATTCTTTTTGGATTGCAATTACAAGGCCATTTTCTTTGGGGAAAAAAAAAAAAAGGCCATAGTTGAGGGATGTTTTTAGTCTTCCAGTTTTTGCCCCTCTTTTCAGGCTTCACTAACAAGTGCTACAAGAAATTTTTTACAAAATACTGCTTGTCCCCTAGGATGCACAGCAGCCGGGCTGGCTGACCAGCTTACACATTTTTCAAGTGTTCTTTTAACAGCTTTTTAGGAACAACAAGTTTTATAAGCCTTTTGTTAATTGTAATTTGTTCAACCCTTATGGAAGTTGTTTTCCAAATGAACACAAAATATTGCTACTGCTGAGTCATTCGTTTCTATCCTTTCCATTTATCTTGTACCTATTCGCAGTTTCCATTTCTCTCCTCTTCATTCTGCTTGATAAAGCCTACTTTTCCCAGATATGTATGATTTCATTTTTTCTATCCTACCATTTTTGCTGTTTTTATTGACTCCATGTACTTATGTAAGACTCTTAGTTTTCCATTTCCAAAAAGTTCTGCTTTCTTATTCCTTCCCATTGCTATAGTTTCTTGCAGAGCCTTTTTATCATGCAGCTGTAGCAAAACAAAAACAAAAACAAAAATCAAAACAAACTAAAAAAAAAACAACTTAAAAACAAAAAAGTGATGCTGAGAGAAGTGAGGTTACTTCTTCCTGCTTGCAAGCTTGCAGGTTTCCTCTCGGTCATGCAGGTTTCCTTGGCTTCTCATCAAGAAAAACAAGAAAAGAGACAAGAACTATGTGTTCTTGGCTTGTCACAGTATTTTATTACCTTGAAGGATAGAGATCAACTTGTTGGGCATAAAACGAGCACTTTAGAGCAAGCAGTTTGTGGATTTTTTTAAATAATTTTTATTTGGCATCATCAGTCAAACCTTTCATGTTGCTGAAATCTATTGCCGTCTTTGAAAAATCAGTCATTCTAAGCTGGTACAAAATCAGTTCGAAGACAGATTTTTCTTGCTTTACGATTTCTTAGAAGCTCTTGAGAGCATCTCCTCAAAAGAATAAGTTAAAACTTAAAATATATTCTTACTCTCTTCTATGAACCAATAACAATGGATATAAATTCCAGCCTTCCTCATATTACAACACAAAAACTAGCTTGGAAGAATATTAGAGGTTGAGAAATCACATCTTGAGAAATTAGAAAATGTCAACTAATATTATTTTGACAATTGTGCATTATGATACAGTTCTCAGTTATGTTCCAAACCTTTTAAAAAAAAAAAAAAAGTTTCACTGAGTCAGTAACTGCCATGTGCTTACTTTCTTTTTATTGTTGGGACTGTGTGCAAGACTGTTATGCTTATCATCCCTAAACTTGACACTTTCTCCTACTTGCTCCTGCAAGTCCATCCTCTGCTTAATGTCTGGATCTCTGTTCAGTCCCAGTCTCACTGTGCAGTCAGTTTTAAGGTTAGATCAAAACAACTAGCTGAAAACCTCCATTCAGCCATCCCGTTACACTGGAGGTATCTAACTGCTGAAGAAGAGGAATTTGTCAATTTGAGCTAGTAGCCTTAGGGCCCTCCTATAGACAGAGAGAAACAGAAACTTACAGGGCACCACTGATGACCACTTCAGGAGTCTTCAGGAGAGAAACTGCAGCCCAGTGTATTGGCCTTTCTAGTTGCGTTGATATATGGCAAAAGTATTACTACGCAAACATACTTCTTGATTTGATTCTGAAAATATACTACAGTGCTAAGTACGAGAAAAGAATGTGAGATTTCGTACATCTATTTTTAATCTGTTTAATTATTCTCAACTACTAATGCTCTTCTAAGTAGTGCAAGTTTATACTGTACTTTCTCATATGATCTGAATTCTTAATTATGTACATAAACTTTTCATTTTATTCTACATGATTGTCCACTACCTTTCTTATAATTTATATAAAGGAGCGAGTAAAAACTCTTCTACCTAATATTTATTCTAAACAATTGCCAATGTAATCTTTAAAACAGTTATTATCTCTGTCCATTGTGAGATTGTAAGAAGAGAAAGAAATATTTTTACCAGGTACAACTACTGCAATTTTCTTCTGCTATCATTGATTCTTAGCAAGTTCTTAAGTTCTACTTAATTTCACTGCTAAGAGTAAACTTCTACTACTTTGCTTCTAAGAAAAAGTCATTCTCAGAAAACCTCCAAGATGGAATTGAGATCACTGACACACTTTCCCTTAAAATATTCAAAGAGCAGTGCCTCAGCATATCATAAACTATGATGTTGAGGGGCTATTCCACACAAAATAGCATCTTTAAAAAGGGTTGCAAGGAAGTCTTTTTCTTTTTTTTTTGTTAAACTTGACATTCCAGATTAAAATTTATTACCTCTGCTTCAAAGTTTCTAAAGCTTATCGTGAAGTGTGGTTTTAGGAAAATTAATATACTCTATTAGAAGGAACTGATCTTTTCTGTGAATAGTGAACAGTCTACAGTGGAAGTTTATATTGTCTCACTATTCTCATCAGTTATCTTTTTTTCTTTCACCAGCAACAGATAAACCCACTGTAGTATTTTATGATGTTTTTAAATGAAATCTAATAGCTGGTAAAGACACAAACGCATTTGCACATCAGAACGAATATTTTGTGTCTCTTCAGATGGCAGGTAAATATATCAACAACCTTCGTATGGTAATTATGTCTCATTTGTAGTTCAAGAAGTCAGGGCATATACTGAATACAGCAACATTTTTGCTCAAGTAAGTTAGACATAAATGACTTCAAAAGGAATTACAACTATTTAGGACCAATTGGAGGATTCACCTTCAAGTTCATTGTATTTTATAGGCTCTGTAATTGCCAAACACTGCAGATTTAGTAGGCACAAAAAGGTGAGGAATAAATTTGTTTATTTTTAAACTTCAGTTCCTGCTGAGATTGTAAATGATTTTTATATGAAGTATTCTGATGCACAGAAGCAGTTCAGATACATACATTCCAAGCAGAACACTTAACTAAAGAAAGTATCTTATTATAAATGTACTTTGATTCTCAAATGATTCGAAGTCAATTTGTCTGTCCTATCACCTGATACTTCATATGCCAAGATGAAGAAATCCACATCTATATTTACAGACTTTAAATATGCTAACATACTGAGTACACTGCAAAGTTAGTTTTTCAGCCTTAGGTATATGTGGAGTAATATGAAGATTGGAAAGGAGTATATCGTTCTTGCATCTTCTCCTGTCTCGACCTCTATTTTTGCAATTTCTTGTGCTTTTTTCCAAGCACATGACAACAGAAAGCAGAATTAAATGCTTAGCCCAGCCCCACTTCCCCTTCCCAACTCCCACTTCCCAGAAGATGTGCTAATGCAACTTTTCAGATCCATCGCTGCAGCTGGGGTGACCCCATCGTCCTCTTTTTCAGCAAACGGCTGTGACGTGACAGAACAGCTGCAGTAAACGTGGGGCTCAGGGTGTCCCGACTGAGCTCCAAAGAGATTGTGGTGATGGAGACAGCAGAAGACACCAAGCTGAGAGGTGCAGCTGTATGACAGAAGGGGACAGAAGCTGAGCTACGCCCCATCCCTGGAGGCACTCAAGGCCGGGTCGGGTGGTGCCCTGGGCAGCCTGAGCTGCCGGGATAAGCCCTGACCAGGCAGAGGGTTACGACCGGTGATCTTCAAGGCCCCTTCCGGCCCAACGCGTCCGCGCGCCTGTGAGGACGAAGGAAACGCAGGGCCGGGAGGACCAGCGAGGTGGGTGGCTCAGAGCGAGCGCGGCCACCCACTACAAAGCACGGGCAGCAGCAGGGCGGTGCACGGGCAGCCGAACGCAACCCCGCGCCCAGCAGCCACCCACCGCTGGGCCGCAGCCACCCCTCGGCGGCCCCGCTTTCCCGCCAACGCCGGCACTACGCCTGCGCCGCGCCGGGGCAGCGGCCTCCCCGCGGGCCGTGACGCCACACCGCCTCCGTGACGCCGCGGCGGCGTGACGCGGCACGCAGAGGGGCGCGCGTGTAAGTTCCCTTCCCTCGCGGCGGAGGGAGCCGCGGGACGGGGGGGCGGGCGGGGCCGCCGCCGGTCTCCGCTGGCGCTGCCCCGGCTTTCGGGAAGCCGGCGGCGGGGCCGGGCGGTCTGCCGGCCGCTCGGGGCTCGGCAGGAGGAGGAGGAGCCGGCGCCGTACGGCGAGGCGCTTCCCGCGCTCAGGAGGGTCGAGGCGGGGCCGGGTTGAGGCCGGTGCTCGGGCCGGGAGCTGCGGCGCGGAAGTGCTGCGCCGGGTGAGACCCGTCAGCGCCGTGCTCGGATCCGGGCCCGGCTGCCGCCAGCAGACCGCGCCGCCGCCTCCGGGCAGCGCTGCCGTCCCGTAACGCTGCCGGGGTCCGGAAGGAGCCTGAGCGCCCGGCCTCGGCTCTGTGCGAGTAGATGCGATCGGGGCGGAGGGCTCGTGCCCGGCTGGGGCTGAGGCCTGTCACCTCCACAGCTCCTCAGGGCTGCGTGTTGACGAGGTAACGACTGTATCCCAAGCACTGAGCGCTCCTGTGTGTTCTGGCGTTGGAAGAGCAAAGAAGGAAGTGTGAGAAGGCTTCCCTTAGAAGCGCTGTGGGAGGGCTGTGAGCGTGCCCTCGGTGAGGCAGATGAGAAAAAAAGCACGAGAGAGGCTCGCTGCAGTTTGTCTTGTCCCACAGTCACGTTTGCTGGAACACTGCCCGGTTCTGTGCCTGAGCCGGATCTGCGGGATGCGCCTTACCTTCTATTGGCAGCTTTATCCCCTCCAAGTCAGGAGCCAAACAGAAAGTAGCAGCTGTTTTCTCACTGCTCTCCTGGGAGCTGTGTGAGGAGCCCGAGTCTCAGTCAGCAGTCCCATATCTGTGGTGCATTCACCTGGCTTAGTGTAGAAGTTACCTTCACGGATTTGCTTGCACTGATGCATCTGTAATGTGATATGAGCAATGGAATAATTACTATGTAGTAAAATCACAGAGAAATGGCTAAAATAAGATAAATATACAACTCCCCTCGATCACAGGATTATCTGAGTGCAGCTTGGTTTTTTGCTCACTTTTTTTTTCTTTTTTTTTTTTTCCAGGGCTGCACAGCAGCCAACATACTCAGTTGCTTTTTTTTTTTTTTTTTTTTTTTTTTTTTTTTTTTTTTTTTTTATTTTTTTTTTTTTTTTTTTTTTTCCCATCTAATCTTATAATGGCTACTTATTTTTAGTAGCAGTTCTGGTTAATTCTTTTTGTTTATTTATTTTTATTTTTTAGAAGCTATTTTTGTGCAAAGCAAAATGTATGTATCAGCACGAGGGCATATCTTGTTCTACTTCTGCTGTTAAAGGAATTGGGTTTTGTCCAAGTTCCAGAAAGATCAGAAAGGGAAAAAAGGAAAAACCTTATGGTAGTTATGATTCCAGTTTAAAATATTTTCTGTAGTGATCTGGTGTAATGTGTGTAATGTTGGTTCAGTGAAAAAAAAATATGTTCTTGCATAACGATAGCTGGAGGGTCAGAATAAAAACAACACGAGTCAAAGGTTTTCAACATTTGCACAGGCTGCTTGAGTAATAGTTTTTAAGGTGACCAGAAATTCTGTAGCTAGTGTTTATCCAAATACTCATGAAGGAAATAGTAGTTTTCCATTTATCTTTTGAGTCTAATTTATGGGAAAGTTGGAGCTAGCAATGGCAGTGACAGTGTATGATGAGATTTTTGACATTGCCATATATGACTTTGGGTATGGTTAGCAAATGTCATATATATATGTTTTTAATGTGCAGGTTCAGTGATTTGCTGCTTTAGACCAAAAGGACTTTCTTCATCAGTGACTTGATGTGTTTTGAGGAGTTTTATGTGAAGAGGTAATGTTTATGGATGTGGCTTAATGTTTTAAGTGTTTATATGAAAATGATGATAGTTTTCTGTATGTGTTTGAACCTGATGAGATAGATACTGTCAGGTCAAAGGAAAATGGTCAAATAGTGAAAGTATAACTTGTGAAGGAAACTTGCTGACGACATTATTACACTTACAGAAACTTACAGAGTTTTAAAAGTAAATGGTCAAATCAGGAATGTGCTTATTTGCAATTATTTCAGCAATATCAATTCAAACATTTATTACTGTGTCTTGTAACCTAAATTATGAGAAATGTCTGATGAACCTCAAAGGACATGGTGTTGTGTTTGCCCCTACTGAGAACAAACAAATTTAGGAGGAGTCTTGTTTGTTTACTGCTTTCTGAAACATATACCTTTGTTTCTAATTTAATATGATGTCCTGGCCTTTGCGAAATACATTTTGTGAGAGATTGGGACTTTCTCTTTTTTCCTTAAAACAGGAATTAAGATGAATGAAATACTTTATTGGCCATAGCAGGATCAGGATGTGCAAGGTGAGTACACTGAAAGAATACAGTAAGTATCCTTGCAGAATATTCAAATGCTTGATTCAGTATTTAAGTAGAAATTAATGGTTGGGGGGTGGGGGGTGAAACTAGATGATCATTGTGGTCCTGGTCAACCCAGGTCATTCTATGATTCTATGATTTATGTGGTGTTTGCTCAGTTGAGTGCATGTTTGACTTATCATAGTGCAGTACTTGCAGGTATTGGTTTGTCCTTAATAAGCTAATTAACTGAGTGGGGGAGATGTTCAAAAATCTGTTTTAAAGGACTGTTTTCCTGGGTACTTATAGCATAATTAAACATTTTAGGAAATGTTTTCAGTTTGTGGAGTTGGACAGTGAACTCAGACAGTGTTTAGTCAAGTAGATAAAGAGATGCGGGAAGAAAAAGCACCGTGTCTGACAGTCTTACCTGCCCTTATCAATGGACTTGGTTTGGATTACTAGGTAGCTTCAGAGTTCATGGCGAGTTTTACCTGATTGGTTGAATTTGGCAGAGAAACATTCGATCTCTGAATTAGTCAAAGAAACATTGCTGTGCTGTGCTCAGTCTCCCATATGAAGTCAGGTATTATTGATAACTGAAGATCAAAATATCTGTAGGAATTAGTTTACACACCCTCTTTTTAAAAAAAAAAAAAAAAAAAGCAGAAACCAAACAAAGTGAGCTCTGCATTCTTTGGGTAATTTTTATTTGAGAACATCCAAACATCTGGAACGTGTATATTGATGATATGAGTAAAGGAATTAAGTTTGTCTCTAGCTTGATTACAAGTGGTTGCATCTCACTGATCTTTGTGTCTGTCTCTGCATCAGGTCACATCTCAGTGGAATCCCCTTTAGGTACTATGACTTGTTCTCTCGGGACTGTCCACTTACTGCTTTGATCTTCTCATCAGCGGGGACACTGAGAACTTTTAGGCAGTAACACTGAGTCCTTGTCAATTTGAGTCACATCAAGAGAGAAAACTAGCATGGTGACAAGTGCAAGAAGCTACATTTGCTTTTGGTTTCTGTCAAACTCAAATACAAACCTAAATATACAAAAGTATCAAAAGCAGCGTTCAGCAGGAAAAGACTACAGAACTGGCCCTTGCTCATTCCCACTGAACTGTTCTTTTCATTCTGTTTAATGGAGGTCACAGTTTTTACTTTTTGGTGTATTTAGCAACAGACTATCTGAAACTTCTTGCATTTGGCTCTAGAACAGCAAAGAACAAATGTCAGGGAGGTGCTGCCACAGGAATAAAAGTGTTCAGAAAGCATGTAGGAATTTGGGGGGAGGTGACAGGAAGATCTTCTTCCTATTTTTTCCCTGCTGGAATTCATATTGTAACATTTAGTGTTGGTGTTCAGTTCAAAACTTACTGTGCTGCAAAGGTTGGTGTGTTGACATGGGCATGCTTTCCCACAGCTCAAATAGTGGAGAGTTTATTTATAAAGCAAAATATACCTCTGAAATTATAATTGATACTGTAATTATGGAGAACTTGCCTTAAAGAGGAGGCTTAGTGGCCTGTAGGACGTTTTCCTGGCTTAGAATAGTCAAGATTTATATTGCAGCATTTTCTCTGTGTGAGTCTTAAACAGGAAATTCCCCCATCAAGACAGAAAAACTTCAGTAATTAAGAGGTACTGTGACAGGGATGATAAGCCTAAAATAATGGTCAACTTTAAATGTTATTTATGGTTGGAACATCTAAATGGTAAGTTTTGCTTTACTTCTCGGGGATCATAGCTTTTTCTAAAGTATGTGTTCAGAAGCCAGCGCTGTGTGGTGCCAGCCTTTCCATAAACCAGTGTGTGCCAGATGTGTGTGGGATTCTGGGGAAGGTGGTTGCATTGGTTTCTCTATTTCACTTTGGTAGTGAGCAGAATGCTTCTGAAGTTGCTGCGTTTTTTTTTTCTTCTTTCAAAAGACTGGAAGTATTGTGCCTCAGCCTTGGGAAGGAGGCCGGTTCTGAATGTGCTTTATGTTCATTTGTTACCTAGTGGAATGGTTGCTTGTTTATCTCATTTATAATTTTTTTTCCCCACTCATTGTCTGCCTGCACTTCAAGAACACCTATTGCCACTATGCAGTTTAGAGATGATAAGAATGCAAATACGGTCTAATTTGCAGTGATTTTGATCACAGGTTGCTATGTTTGAGAGTTGTGCCAACTCTCTCTTGACGTGCATGTATAATGATGTACTTAATGCTTAGTGGAGCCTGAGGGATTTGTTCTCCTGTAGTGAAAAAGTGTTATTTATTTGCACAGTAATCTGCAGAGGAGAATAGCAATAAATCTTCTGATTTTTCTTGAGATGGTGCTCCTTTATCTTGTGTTTTATAAAACCGTGCTACCTCCTGCTCCGGGTGTTTGTGTCTAATGGTGATTGTAGCAGCCCTTATCATCTTCAGGAAAGATGAGATTTGAAGTAGAGAAGTGTATCTTACTTATTGCACACTTAGTCACAAAGTACAGAAAAAGTCTGACTTTTTTTAAAAGCAATTATTATAGCAGAATGAGTTGCCAGAAGCATCGTATCTGCAAGATATGTAGGATACTTGCTCTGTTCTCCTCAGGGCTTACAAGATCATAACTGGAGTGGGCTGTTGAGATTTAGGAACAAGTCTTGCCGTATTTTCTGCTGATGAGCAATGTAGACGTACTGCAGTAAGAAAACAGGGCAAACCAGCTTCCTTTTTAGCTGCAGCATTTTGAATGGAGGCTGGGTACTCTGATTTGTTATGATGTTGTGCCAAGACCGAGAGCTGCAGTCTGATGTCAGAGTTCTGCAGAGCAAGTTGCCCTAATTCTCCACCTACAAAGTGTTGCATCTCTTGGGTGTCTCCTGATGTGTGTTGTGGAATTCCCACTGAGTTTACAGCAGTCTGGTTTCTATCCAGGGCAGATGACTTGTGTGTTGGAAAACAATTCAGTGTCTTTGCGCTGCAAGTAAATAGTGGATAAACTATTTATAAAGTGGAAAATGTGGATAATAAAAACTGAAGTACGAAACAACTATTTTCTTTTGTTTCCAACAAAATGGCAGTTATGAATTGAAGAAGTAACTTTGACTTCATCAATGAGTTCTTGGCTTTAATTTAGTTCTTTACTGCACTGTATCTGCCCCATTCACATGCCCATCCTTAGACATTTTCATGTGTTGCTTTTGTATATTGTATATTCCATAAGCTTTATTTCCTTAGTGGTTCTACTGAATGAGTGACTGCAGATAGGTATTGGTCTTGCAGGACTTCATTCTGCATGCACAGCTAGTGATGACAATGGATTACATTAGAAATGAATGCAAGGAAAAGGAAACAAAATAAGAATCGTGTAGAATAATTGAGGAAAGAAAGACTTGTAATAAATGAGACATCATACACGAGGTGTGATGACAGTGGTAGCACTGTTCTGATTTGCAACTTCAATGATAACTAAGGAAGCGTGGCATTTAAGTGGTTTATTGTGTATTTTTAATCAGAAAAGTCCTTTTAAATTCCATTTTTGGGGAGATTACTTGAAGAGTTTACTCCTACAAGTGTACAAGTGTTCCTCCTATATAGGAACTTATTTTTGTATAACATAATGAGGATACATCCACTGTAGTTCTGAATCAACAAATTCATAAAAGCACTGATAATTGGTTGCTTTATTGCATCTCTTGTTAGGGTTATTTGCTAATACTTTACAGTATTATCTATCAATAGATGTAAGGTAGTACAGTTTTCTTTAGTGTGAGCTTAAAGAAATAAAATTTCTTAATGTGGAATTTGTTGTGAGTCTTTGAAGAGCATTTGTGTGTGATCGTATTCACTTTCCAGCATGGCACTGGGAGGCTTAGTAACTGGGATGAGATACAGCCAGACTACTCAGATTGTCTGTGCGTCTCTAGAGAATAAAAATTTCTTTACCATCAAATGCATGGGGTAGCTTGAAGCCATCCCATTGAGCTGTGGGATTTATTTCAGGTTTCGAGAGACTCATTTTTGTAAAGTAGATAACTGAGGGACTGTGTATTCTTGCTTGGATAATGCACTGTTTGTTTTGGAAGGAAGTTTCCAATGACTAAATAAGAACAAGATGTGTGACCACCTTCCAGGGAGGAGACTGTTTGGTCAGCATCAAATTAAAAGGAAAAATTTAGAAGAGGCAATTGCCCATTTTTACATAGTGTTTGAAATGTTTTCATTTTTCTTCTGAGCTTTAATTATATGGTATGTGAATGGCAACAAGAAAGGCCAGAGGTTTTCTTCTGTTCTTGGAAGTATAGCTTTATCACATCGTTGGGAATTTATAGCCTAGTAATATGTAGTGTTTTTTTCCATTCCTGCGTTTTACAATTGGTTTGTAGAGCCTCATAGTTTGGCAGCAGAGAGTTCAGTTTTTCATGATTTTTTTTTTTTTTTTTGGCATGAAAGGGTTACTGTTCACGTTTCCTGTGTAATTCCTTCTGATCTTGCTGGGCTGTAATTACTTTCTTGATGTTAAACATTCCCAGGCTCCTATAACCTTCTAGCCTGCTTGCACTGGCCAAGTTTGTCCCAGGTGATCGTGTGGGCGAACCTCCTGTTTTTAAGGATAAAAATCTCTGCTTCCTGTGTGAGATAGGCCACAAACTCGTTCCTTTGCTGTGCAAACCCAGGAGAAATCTTTTTTTAAAAAAATAATAAGGTAACACATCAGCCTTCTAGAGTCAGATTTAGCAGCTAAATTCGTGACAGACGAAGTGTGTGGGTTTAGAATTTGCTGAATCTTGGTTGAATGATTTCTAGTTCACATTAAAGATTCTTCTCTTAATTCATTTGGAAAATAGGTTATGATATAAAAAAGATCCTGACTGCAACGTCTCACGTCTGACCATATAATTGCCAAATGGTTTTAAGGTTATTTAAATGGAGAACTACTTAGTTGAGCTTCCAGGATTTTTCTTTTCTTTTAAATGAAAGCTGAAGCTGTTTTTTTTTTTAAAAAAAAGAGATGGATTCTCTCCTCGAC